GATCCGATTGAAGATTTCCGGGTCAAAATTAAACAAATTTGACCCGATTTGGGTACCCAAAAACTGCTGCAAAAATGTATAGTAGATTTTACACTTACAACAAACAATTTAATTCCCAACGCAAAGCATCTTTTTTTTTGTCGTCTAGATTTATTATTAATTGCAAATTATGAGAACTGTTACATAGACGATTCTACAACTGACAATTCTTTCCGACCCTTACTAGATTCACGACAGACTACACTTCCTTCTTCGTAATCTTGATGAATACCTTCAATGATCCACGATCTGGCGACACTTCATTCTCTGTGTAGAATCCTGGCGAACGGCTATAATTGTACATCGCTAGAGATTTCTTGCACACTTGCCTCCATTAATATGCAAATTTGTTAATAAATCACAATACCTGGACTCCAACCCCAAACCTTTTGGTGTAGAAGCATTAATCAATCTTTCGTCAACCAATGGACCAAGGGGGCTTCCAACCCAACGCAAAACATCTTGTAAATATTTCTATTTATTTTTTAAACAAGCATCTCTTAAATACATATTGGTCTTTGATATGATTGAATGTTATCGCGGTGGCTTTGGTCATAAATCTACTAAAAAAACTTTCGTCATAACTCATTTCCACGTATCAATTACACCAACTTTTTTTTTGTCATTTGTTATTTTGGCTCTTGGAAATTGTTTTTTTTCTTCTTCTTTTTCCTAAAACAAATCTGGGAAATTGTTGTCAAAATCGAATGACTTGTAAAACTGTGATTTTTTGTTTTTCCAAGTAGTAAAACCAATATCCAAACGAGACTTTTAAATACTCCATAAGTCCATTTTAGTTAATAATTAACACATGATTAATCATATGGAATTTGCTGTTCTTATGGATCATGATGATTCGATATTGCATATACCACACATAACATGCATATATACATAAAACGTATCAATACAATAAAAACACTAGGAAACTCTCTAGCATCTGACACATCAGCAATTTGGTGTATTATGGAGCTGACACATCATTAAAAAGACAAACCAATCAAAACATAAGTTCTTAACATCAAGTACTCCCAAACTATATACTTTAATTATTCCCTAATGCGTAATATATAGGTATCTCTCTAGTTACCCTCGTATAACATAAGTTCTTAACATCAAGTACTCCCAAACTATATACTTTAAGTGTTAGATAAAAAAAAAAAGAGAAAATTGTTAGATGTGCACTAAATATTATTATTTTATAAAGAGATTTGTCTAATTTTACCAAGAAAAAAGTTAAAAATCTATGTTTTTGTTGTTGTTATTATAATGCATCTTCTTTTCAAAACATATCACGTATAGAACTTTTTACAATATTTGGATGTAATTCAAGAAACCAACACCAAATATTTTAGAAGCAATACGAAAGATTAGATATATAAGCTTATAGTGTAACTTCAATCATAAACAAATAACACTAGAGTCATATTATACATTAAATATTTCTTAGATAATTTTATATAGTTAATTAATTATTAATTTATTATACTTAGGACTTACGCGTGGTTTTGAAAAAAAACATTATCTTATAAAATTATGCTAATTATTACACTAATCCAAGTCGAGACCGATTTTTTTTTTTTTTAAGTTGTAGTGATTAAAAATTTATAGAGGTTTTAATGTATTTAATTATGGATGTTAATGGAATCTAAATGGTAACATAATTATTGATTCTTCAATCATTGGTTCTAAACTATGCACTGAAAAATAATATTAGCTATGATATTTGTAAATTACATTTTAGAGATTTTAAAGTTTAGTATTACTCATATTAAGATTTTAAATACGTCATTAACATCTGACATTATTCAAAAAAAAAAATTCATTTTACATCCTTGCATGTATGGAATCTATAGAAATGAATTCCAATAGATTTTTAATGAGTGAATAATCAAACAAAACAATTTACATTATACAAACTAATCAATCCTGTTAAATATCAAAATAATTCCTTACTTTTGTAAGAAACTGCGGTATACCTTACTTTTGCATGCTTTTGTAGGAGCTAGATCAAGGCAAGAGCAATAGTCCAAGTTTTTCTATTTAAGAACGACCATCCCAAGGAGTTTTTCTTATCAAGTGATCCACATGCTCTTGTTGAGCATACAAAGAAAGTTTTGGTGATTCAAGATGGCCAAGTTGTTAAACTCTAGGTACAACTGATCATGGTTATAAAACCGATTTTCAAACAAAAAAGTAACAAAGAGTAATATATAGTTGGGAACTCTGTTTTGATGAATCCTAGTTGCGTGTCCATATCTAGTGACTCCCACTAATTCTGTGAACTTGATGTTGCAGCTTCTTGTGTTGGGGAGAGTCAGGACACAGGTTCATCTTCAACATCATCATTGAGAATGGCGCAGCAGGAGTATGGTTACCTCCTTATTTGTTTCTGTGCCAGGGGGGGTTACCAAGTCACTGGAAGCTCTACGTGCTCAGATGGAAGTCCAAAGAAGACTACACGAGCAATTGGAGGTTAGTTTTCTTCATTTCTCTTGCCATTGATCTTGAAGATGCAAACCACCATGTGTACAAAAACATTTGGCTCAAAAGTTACAAATTAGGGTAGAACCGTTATCCTAAGTTCTTAACCAATGTCCAATCCAAAGATTAGAATGTTGTTGTTACCAAATTATTCTTTCCTTTTCTGCTGAAACAAATGAACAGTATTCCTTGTTTCCCTCTGTCCTTGAGATGAAAACAATGGCCACTTTTGTAGGAGTTTATGCAACATGCTGTGCTGTTAAAATGCAAACCTCTGATTGGTCTTTTGGTATGGGCAGATGCAACGGAGACTCCAGCTAAGGATAGAGGCACAAGAAAAGTACCTGCAATCAATTCTTGAAAAAGCTTGCAAGCTGCTGCTTTTACTGGGCTTGAGGCTGCTAGGGAAGAGCTATCAGAGCACTTACGGACTATTTAAAATTCTTCAATAGCTCTCAAGGAACAACAGTCCCGTACTTCCGATGCAATAAAAATGATGATGGTGCCATCTTTGTCAGAGCTTGCAGTAGCAGTAGACAACAATAAACAACATCAGAACCAACTGTTTAGTAGAAAGCTCTCTAACTTCCATCACTAATGGGAGCTCGATATCTGCTGCATCGATATCGATGAAGAAGCGGGGCAACGTGGTGACAATTTGGGAGTCGGGTATGAAGCGGGCTGGAATATGCCTAGTAGTACCCATTGGATAAAATTTAGGAAGGGGAAAAAAAATCAATATGGGAAAGGTAGAGATAAGATTTAACTCTTATTTACTTGCTTTGAGGGGCCTTTATTATTATTATTCGATACAAACTTGTCATCAAAATTTCATCTTAGCCTACTCATGTATATATTTTGATGAAGCTTTAGTGTTTCCTTTAACCTTGCTTTTTAATTATTCTTGTACATCTCCAAGTCTAAGTTTTGATACAAACTCCAATCAAACGAAGCCCAAACATTCTCACCAGAAACACCAAATTTTCACATTCAAACATGGAAGCATGGATCATTATTTATGTTTGTACTTCTTCAGCTTTTGCTTATTTTGAGATAATAGGCAAGTAAATTTTATGGATGGACTCGTCTGATCTGATTTAAATACGGTGGTGCGTCTGAATGTGTGACAAAAATTGATGAATTATTACAGCAGTGTTATGCGTCTACGGAATCATTTAGTTTTGAATACTAGCTAGAGACTAAAGTATGCCCATGAAAAGATATCAAAGAACAACAAAGAATCAAAAAAGAAGATCACTAATTTTTATAACATGAATGAAAACTTCGGTTCTGACACGCAGCTTATTGCTTATTGTCAATAAAGTTGAAAAAAGAAAGATTAAAACCTGACGCATGACCTGAAATAATACGAAAGTATTCAAGAGAAAATGAAAACGACACTCCAACTCAAGATAAAAATCAAGCACCAAGCGAATACTTTTGTCTCACCACCAACAACAAGATATAATATAAATACTTCATGCAAATAACCTTTGTTCACCAATTGATCGAGCTTTTCCATGATCAGGATCATGTTTTGGAAACATGCATGCATGAGTTTGCCTTGCGTTTCGACATTTGCATAGTTACAAGAAGTATATATATGTATATATGAAAGGTAGAGATAATATAATTTACAGGCTCGTTTTATATAGTTCATATATGCAAGTTAAGTTAACTAACCAATCCATACTTGACATTTAGATGCAGAAATCAATGTGTTGTACAAGTTCTTATATATGTTTTATTGTTAAACATCAATCAAGCAATCAAAGCTTCCATTAATATCTCAAGGCTCACAACCATGATGATCATTATCTTCTCTATCATTTTATAAGACCAAAAAAAAAATATAGAACAAAAAAGGAAGCTCAAAATAAACGAAACACCACCCTACACTTTCTTCCTCTAGCATAAAGAAATATTAATGGTGAATAGGAAAAAAAATAAAGAAGCAATAGAAACTTGTCTCATGAAGGCGAGGAAGGGATCGGATGCAGCCAGCGGGGAAGAAGAAACCTCGAAATGAAGGGTATATAGATTCTGTCCTCATCTGGATCCCACTCTCTGGCAAAGCGAAGAGTGCGACCGTGGCTGCTACGTTCCAAGTTATTGTGCCGCCCAATCTGTCCCTTGTACAAGTTAATAGATGAAAAATGTCTATCCATCTTGCTCCACATGTACATTATATCACCATGAAAAGGGTTTATGCCTAAGGGAAAATATTCCAAACTGGTCACCGAGGGGATTTCAGAAACTAATTGCCATTCACCGCTCTTTAGCCTCCACACACGTAATTTATAGGCACGGTTTTCATAGACCATGTTCATATAAATGAGGAAATCTTGAGATATAGTGCAATTTCTTGGAAATTTCTTGCCTGTTCCATCATTAGGGAAAAGTATAACTCGGCATTGATCAGATTCTGAGTATAGATCATGGGATACAAGAATCGTAGTACAATGGTCAGAGTCAAATTAGTCAAGGTTGACGCCTATCCAGTAAATGTTTCCGTTCAAGGTAATGGGATCGATGCAAGACATATAGTGCAACTGGGGATGAGACTGGAGAGTGTTGAAACTCCACAAGCCTGTCTCAGATGAATATACGACTAAACTTAAGACACCTGTTCTGATGTTAGTCCTATCCATCAAAACAACTTTGTAACCTAAAAGGACGTCTTTTTCAATGCGTGTGACGAGTCCAGGTCTGAAACATTCCTCTTGTTGACCTAGAGGACGAAGAGGCCGAGGTGGGATTTTCACACATTGTTGTGAAATCGGATTAGCCATGTAGTAAGTTGGATTCTTCAAGTCAGATCCCAAACCAATCAAAATCAATCCAACGTTGGTGTAAGCCAGGACTCTGACCTTTTCATTGTGTGTCTCGAATGTTTTGGTTAGGAAAGACGACAAGTAAGAACCTAGAGATCGTGTAAGTCCCCAGATTGCACATCGTAGTGAGCCACGACTTCTACCGGACCATACTTGTAGATGAGCGACCACGAAGAATGCGAGTTTTGATGATGAGATAGAAATAGGTGGCGGAAATACGGAGATTCCACTGTTGATTTCCATTGCTTGCAAACCAATTTGGAAGAGGTGACGCTCCTAAGCGGTAATCTCGCAAGTATAATTCCCCATAAATCCTCTGTGAAGGACTCCATATTTCTCTTTCGTTGGCGTTTATGCTTTTACGTACCTTCTTTTCTCTCTTTCAATGATCGTATATCTCCAAGGGCGGATCCACTAAAGAGAGGGAGGTCGTACGTTACAGTTTTCAAATAGCAATCCACTCTATATGGAGAGAGCGCAATGGGAGGAGGCATGGCGAGCATCCGACTTCAGCGACACAACTTGCAATCTGGATTGAGAAACAGATTCGTAACAAACTCTCTGCGATTCGGGCGGCGGGCGATCAAAGATTCAACTCAAGCCTACAAGCTTGGTTTGCATCAAGACACTAAGTCCAAATCCATGTATCCCTAGTTTTTAAGCTTTTCAGCACACATTTGCATAATTATGTACCCAAAAACTGTTATTTTTTCTTGAATATAATTTAATATTACATTCAAAAAAAAAAAAAAAGAGGGAGGTCAACTGACCTGGTAAAATAATGATATATGTTATAATACATCATATTGGACTTATAATCGGACCCAATAAGCCCATCAGGGTTATTCATTATGTACTCTAAAACCCTAGGTTTATATGCCTATATATATGTATCATTATTCATGGAATGGAAGGAGACAACAATAAGTTTCACAACACGTTATCAGCACGAGTTTGCTCTTAACAACCCTAACCCTAAAAATCGCAAAACACTGTTCACGTCGACACTGCTCATCGATACTGTTCATCGACACTGTTCGCCGATACTGTTCACGCCGACACTGTTCATCGACACTGTTCATCGACACTGTTCATCGGTACTGTTCATCGACAGCGTGAGTTACCGAGGTCTTAAGCTCCCGGTTCAATTCGTTCAACCCCAATTGGTGAAAGGTAAAAACAAAACCTTAAAAGCTTAAAGATCAAAAACCTTGTATTACTTAAACCTAACACTCAAAATCGAAAACACTAAGCCATGGCCGAAATCTTAAAACCTAAATCAAATCAAATCCAAAACCGCAATTTTCGTGTATCCCCTAAACCGGAAATCATTCTCGGTTAACTCCTAAACCCGAATATCAATTCGGTTCATCGGTTAAACCGATTATCAAACCGGTTCCAAAATAATAACCGGATCTTAATCTGGGTAAACCGGTTCAAACTGGTTATTCTAAACCGGAAATCAATTCGGCCCAAACCGGAATCTAATATTCCGGTCCAACTTTAAACCATTAAACCGAACTTATGTTCCGTATCCTTAAAATTTACGATTCCCGAGAAAGTTTCTTAAAATAGAAACCTTCCTCAAATAACAAATTTCCCAAATTAGAAACTTTCCTCATTTAGAAGGTTTCCTCAAATAGAAACTTTCCTCATTTAGAAAGTTTTCCTCAAATAGAAACTTTCCTCATTTAGAAGGTTTCCTAAAATAGAAACTTTCCTCAAATAGCAAATGACCCGGAATGAAAACTTTCCTCATTTAGAAAGTTTCCCAAATTAGAAACATTCCTCATTTAGAAGGTTTCCTCAAATAGAAACTTTCCTCATTTAGAAAGTTTTCCTCAAATAGAAACTTTCCTCATTTAGAAAGTTTCCCAAATTAGAAACTTTCCTCATTTAGAAGGTTTCCTCAAATAGAAACTTTCCTCATTTAGAAGGTTTCCTAAAATAGAAACTTTCCTCAAATAGCAAATGACCCGGAATAAAAACTTTCCTCATTTAGAAAGTTTCCCAAGTTAGAAACTTTCCTCATTTAGAAGGTTTCCTAAAATAGAAATTTTCCTCAAATAGAAACTTTCCTCATTTAGAAAGTTTCCCTCAAATAGAAACTTTCCTCATTTAGAAGGTTTCCTAAAATAGAAACTTTCCTCAAATAGCAAATGACCCGGAATGAAAACTTTCCTCATTTAGAAAGTTTCCCAAATTAGAAACTTTCCTCAAATATAAAGTTTCCTCAAATAGAAACTTGCCTAAAATAGAAAGTTTCCTCAAAATAGAAATTTTCCTCA